ATGTCGCAGGTGCAGCACTGGAAGAACGGCGGTCGGTGCGGCGTGTGCGGGGACGACTGGCGGCTGCCGCAGCCACGACCCCACGAGCGAGGCGGACGCTTCGGCCGCGGCGTCGTCACCGCCAGCTACGGCGAGGGCCAGGTCGTCCCCGTGACCATCCACCTCTCGGCCAACCACAAGGTGAGGATGCCTCCCCCTCTCTCCCCTGCTGGGATACGTCCCCTGGGGCTGCCATTCGCTTCCCTCGGCTATATATTGGTCTGGATCGAGGCCTCATGAGTTATCTCGTTGGTCTTAGGGCTGGTACGAGTTCCGGCTGTGCAGCAACAGCGACCCGGGCGCCCGGGACTCGCAGCGGTGTCTGGACAAGCACCTCCTCGCCATGGCGGACGGCAGCGGCTTCCGCTACTTCCTGGACGCCTCCGTCCGCGGCGACCACACCGTCCACGTGCAGCTGCCGAGGGGCGTCTCCTGCGCCCACTGCGTCCTCCAGTGGACATGGACCGTTGGTGAGTGGACCGGTCGCTGGCGATCTTTATTCCCTGCTAAATTGCTCTGCATAGATTCCTTATGATTTGTGCTCAGAACTAAGAAGTAAGAAATGTTTATCCGAGACAGCACTGATACAGATATGCCCATCCCCCTCCCTAACTTGGCTCCCTCACCCCCCAGGCAACAGCTGGGGCACGTGTCCTGACGGCGGCGAGGGCCTGGGCTGCGGTCCCCAGGAGACCTTCGTCAACTGCGCTGACGTCAGGATCCACCCCAAGGGCTTCCATCCCGCCGCGAGAGTCAGCCCCAAATTCCGGAAGCCAACGAGACGCCCGTCCTAGATGTTGTGCCGCGAATATTTATTCATTGAGATTCATTGTTTGTGTAACGATGGTGAGTCAACTCTTGTTTTGACTTTTCCATTGTATCATCACTATTATTTATATTAAATCAAACACAGGAAAATGTCTACGCATCACGCAAATTTTCAAATAAAATTCCACAAGATCATACTCGTGTTCCTATCAAAAAAAAATTTCGTGAAGACACGAAAGAAAAAGTGAACGTGTTGGATTCGAAAAAAACAACAATAATAATAAAAAAAAAATGGACGATGAGATTCATTCTAACCAAAATCTGCCATCATCCAGTCACAGATCACATGATGCTAATCAGAAGTAAATCTAGGATGTGTATCAAAGAAGCTGGGGGGGGGGGTACTGTATAGAGAGGAGAGAGAGGAGGCAAGCGCCGTGACATGCCATGACATTAGTAACATATACACGATCCAATCTCTCGTTGCTTCGGCGAGGAAAAAATAAACTCTTAAACGCGTACAGAAAATAACTCCGGAAATTATATGCAAATGTTATTTGAGCCGACACATAGTTACTCAGTTTGTACAAGTGTATTTACATGATTTCCTGAATTATTCACATACTTCTGTGCAATATATTTCTTTTTGTTGCAGGGGAACAATAGATCATACATGGGTTTGAATGTCTCTTTGGATCTATCACTAGAACTAGAAGAAAGTTTGATTATGATTTAATTGTCTTTATGGTAATGTATTTTTCTGTGAATAGCATGACAATAGCAAGTTATCTTGAAAAAACAAGAACAAAAAAACAAGAACAAAAACAAGAGAAAATCAAGACAAACGAACAAACAAGACGACGAATGTACTTTATTTTATTTATCTATTTATTTATTTCTTTATTTTTACTCTGAAGTAAGAGCAAGAAGACCATTTCTTCAATATAGTTAATTATGACTTAACTAAACTTAAACAAAAAATTGCATGACACTTCGATATTCCGACTTGCCTAATCTTTTGAAAAAAAAAAATGTCGTTGAAGCTAACAGATTTCAACAGCAACAAAAATATATATATATGAATCTTAAAGACATACAAAACACACACAAACATAAGTATTAAGAGTCAGGTGATTGTGATTAAAATCGAGTTGCCAGGTTTTGTTTTCTTTCCTAACATTGGACACGCTATATATAAATGCTAAAAACATACATATATACAAGTGTGTATGTGTGTGTCTTTATATATATATATATATATATATATATATATATATATATATATATATATATATATATATATATATATATATATATAACTGTGTGTGTATGTGTGTGTGTGTATTTGTATTTGTTTGCAATATATTCATATATATATATATATATATATATATATATATATATATATATATATATATATATAATATATATATATACATATATCACACACACACACACACACACACACACACACACACACACACACACACACACACACACACACACACACACACACACACACACACACACACACACACACACGCACATGTAAATATATATATATATATATATATATATATATATATATATATATATATATATATATATATACATATATATATATATACACATATATACACACATATATATGTATATAAGTATATATGTACATATATGTATATATGATGTATACACATACATATATTATTTATGTATATGAAGAAGTGTATATATATACACATACATATTTACACATATATGTGTGGGTGTATGTATATATATATATAAATGTGTATGTATATACATATATATATACATATATATAAATGTATGTAAAGATATGAGTATATATATATATACATTTATGTACATGTATACATACATACTTGTAAACATATACATATATGATAATAATAATTATTATAATAAGAACAATCGGTTTATTGATTTTCATTCAGCTAGAGGCTGAAAATATACATAGAAATACAGATAAAGAGACAAACTATATATGCATAAACACATATAAATAACAAACAACAAAATAAACTATAGCAACAAAATAACCAAAATATCAATGGTCAAGTGCAAATACAGGTGTGCTAGGAGCTGGACTAGTAATTGTGGACTAATGCTCGTTGTTGAGTCGGACGAGAGTGGGTATTGTGCTCCTGTGGTGGCGGTCAGTTTGAAGGGGGCGCGTCGGGGGGCAGCAGGTCGCGGTGGCGTGGATGGCACAGCAGCTTCGGGCCAAACTGCTGCAGGGAGGTGGAGGAGTGAGTGGCGAGGGAGGTGAGGCCGAGGATAGTCAGGGCGCTGTCGTAGCTGGTATAGGCAGGACCGAGAATAATCTTGGCTGCCCTCTTCTGTATCGTCTCGAGTAGCGGTAACTGGGTGGCGGTGAGGGAGGGGGACCAGGCGGGGGAGGCGTAGGTCAATTTAGGCAGGATGAATAGCCTGTAGATATTCTGAAGCTCCGGAAGTGGAACGCTAAGGGACTTGAGGCGACGCAGGGTGTGTAGCCTGTACGAGGCAGACCTCACGATGCCTCTGACGTGCTTCGTCCAGGAGAGCTTTTCGTCGAAGGTGACGCCGGGCAGCTTGGTGGAACGGACTGCGTCGAGCGGGTAGACGTCGAGCGGGTGGTCGTCGAGCGCGAGGATAGGCGCGGGGGCGAGGTTGGTGGAGAAGTCGAACTCCATCACGACCGACTTCTGGCGGTTGATAATGACGTGATTTGCGATGGGCCAGGAGAGGAGGTTGTCGAGGGTGCGCTGGATGGCGGAGTGGTCAGCGCAGGAATTGTCAATGGCGGCGGCGATGATCGAGTCATTCACGTATTTCCAGCGACGCTCGGCATCCAGGAGAGCGTCGTTGATCATGATAAGGAAGCATAGGGGCCCCATTCTAAGATGTTTTGCGCTTGTCGAGGTGGGCGTGGACGAAATCGAGGAAGCTAACGAGGCAGTGTGTGGCAGAGGAGGAGCACATGCTGCCGAATTGCCGAGTGTCAACGCTGGGCGCGAGGTCCTGGCAAGCCCAGTCGGCGACAAAGCTTTCACACAGCAGGCTAGACAACGGAGTAATGGCGATGGGTCGCAGTTCGCCGAATGAGGCGGGGCTTGGGGTTTTCCCGATGGCGCTGACAAATGCGGTCTTCCATTGTAATGGGCACTTGGACTGTTGCAGTGAGACGTTAACTGTTGAGGTAAGAGGTGTGGCAAGTTCCATTATGAACTCTTTGATAAGGCGCATAGGCAGGTCAAAGGGTGGTAGCTCTCTTGACGCAGACGCTTTTGAAGCACCTGGAACTGGCTGACTGTTAGAGCAAGTGAGCAGGCCAGCAGATAATCGGGGTAGCTGCTGGCAAATCGAGGCGAAGTGGTCACTGAGAGCCTCTGTTGCTTCACTGGGGCTGAGGTTGCTGGTGCATGGGAACGTGCACGGCCGATTTGCCGCACCGAGAAAGAGAAAGAGGGAAGTGGGCGAGGCAGTAGGTGGGGGCCGATGTATCGCAAGTCAAGTTCGATATCTTGGAATGCACACTGACACTATGGTATTCACTGAAACATCACGTGGTCACTGTGTGTGTGTGTGTGTGTGTGTGTGTGTGTGTGTGTGTGTGTGTGTGTGTGTGTGTGTGTGTGTGTGTGTGTGTGTGTGTGTGTGCGTGTGTGTATGTGTGTGTGTGTGTGGGTGTGGGTGTAAGTAAATGAATATATGTATATATATATATATATACACATACATACGATGTGTATATATATATATATATATATATATATATATATATATATATATATATATACATATATATATATATATATATATATATATATATATATATATATATATATATATATATATATATATATACATATGCATATATGCATTGCATATATATATATATATATATATATATATATATATATATATATATATATATATATATATATATATATGCATATATGTACATATACATATACTTATACATATACATATACATATACATATACACATTGCATATATATATATATATATATATATATATATATATATATATATATATATATATATATATATATATATATATATATATATATATATACACACACACAATGTGTATATGTATACGTATATATATGTAAATAATGTATATAATATACACATATACACACAATATCTATTTCTGTCTATTTATGTATCTCTCACTCTCTATATGTGTGTGTGTGTGTGTGTGTAGTATACATATAGTATGTACATATACATACTATATATATGTGTGTGTGTATATATATATATATATATATATATATATATATATATATATATATATATATATATATATATATATATATATATATATATATATATACCATGTATATGTATATATACTACATATATATATATATATATATATATATATATATATATATATATATATATATATATATATATATATATATATATATATTCATATATATGTATGTATATGTATATACTTGCAGAGAATATATATATATATATATATATATATATATATATATATATATATATATATATATATATACATATATACATATATATATATATATATATATATATATATATATATATATATATATATATATATATACATATATATATATATATATATATATATATATATATATATATATATATATATATATATATATATACACATATATATATATATATATATATATATATATATATATATATATATATATATATATATATATATATATATATATATATATATATATATATATATATGAATGACTACCGTGATGGTCCAGTGGTTAGAGCACTGGACTCCGACCCTCGTGATCCCGAAGGTGTGTGTATGTGTGTATTTATATATGTATATATTTATATGTATCTTTATATATATATATATATATATATATATATATATATATATATATATATATATATATATATGTATATATACATATATATATATATATATATATATATATATATATATATATATATATATATATATATATATATATATATATATATATATACATACATGTAATATATGTATATATATATGTATATATATATATATAGATATATAGATATGTATATATATATACATATA